ACAGTTGGACGCAGGTCTCTCCTTCTAGCCTCCCCTGCTTGCTTCCAGCGAATTCCTGTAACCTTCACCATGTGATCATCAAGGTTGGTCTTTACTCTAGAGAAAATAACGTCTGCTGTATTGAATTGAGTTGGCCTGCTTCCCGCTATTAATGTGACAACCCAAAGCGATGGAGTACGTAAACAATCCAGACGATTTTCATCGCAGTGATAGCAGCGGCGATAGTTTTTGCGCTCCCAGCTGGCCGTTATGATATCACTTTAATAACCATGTCCCGCTTTTTACTCCCAATGTTCTTGTAGTTAACATAGGGTAGTTGCGTCATCCTATCGTTGTTATCTAATAACTTATATGGCGCGGGGAAAAATAGTAAACCATCAACACGGTAAAAAGTAGTTGATAATTTTAACTCCACTGTATTGTCAATCTTCACTGAGTATAGGTTTCTTCAAAAGGGTAGGCAATGATACATGGAAAAAATGCACATTCGGAAGATTTTGGGTGGTAGCCTTTCATAGCTGGAAATTTTTGCGCCTTGAATAAAATTAGTTTACATCGGATACTCTTCATATGGGCAGTTGAGTTGAGTAAAGAAGTTCAATCAAGTCAAAATTCAAAGTGAGATGTAACGACAATGCGGAACAACACCCATGGATTTCTTTTGGTAGTAATTTCAATGCCGTTGATGTCTTCCGTATCGTAATGTAATTCAATAAATTATTAAATACAATTCCCTCCTTCAATTTCACTTCTTGTTGTAAACATCTTTCGCATTTAGGTATGTATTATTTCACTTATATCTCAAGCCTATAACTTCGGTTTATATAGTCAATTGTCAGTAACTACGGCGCTAACGCTTTAACATTTATTTATTATCCATCGGAATGTGCGTAACCATTGACTTTGTACCGTATAAAAAGCGATCGAAATTGCCTAGATTTCTAACATCATAACAAGCGTAATAATGCTCGAAGCCGTATAACTCTATCTCTCCCTTCGTCATTGAGGACAAGATAAGGCTCGAGTGGGGCTTGCCGGTAATTTTATTAAAATATTTATCGCTTTTCGGCGCGCAATCAGACACCTCATAGCGCTAAAACATTCTGCTCGAGTTTTTAGAGTTGGTCAGACTAGCTAAAACTACATAAATTATTTAGTTAATCGTCATTATTTGGTAGATCAAATGTGGTAATCTTAATTGAGTAATCAACATAGTCTTATTTGCCAAGATGCACGAAAACTACACGAAATTCTAATCTTTCACGTCACTGTAGATAAAATAAAATCATACCGCATTGACCGCGAAATATAATAACCATCACCTCATTTCGAAAAACAAAGATGGAGTCTTGTGGTGGGGCGAGTGGGGGGAAACGCGAAAATGTGCGGTGCAGAGCCCGCGCCCGCGCTCCAGAATTATGTTATTCTTAATTTAATTTCATTAGGCCCGGCGAGATTGTACTTTAGCTTTTATGTCGACCAAAGTATAATTGCTCAGCTACACTGGAGCCGGAACGAGTTAATTGTTACAAAATTGTATTTGTGATTTTTAAAGCTTCATATACTAACTTCTATAAAGTGTGTCATGAAACCGGTTGTTAAGTTGCGTTAGTTTGAATATCTCGTAATTTTAACTACACGCTATATTGGAATATTACTATAATTAATTAGTAGCTATTTTTTGTTTATAATAGAGACTGTAGGGTTGTAACGAATATTCGCGATTGCATTCGGCATAAGCGAAGTTTTCTATATAATTAGAATACTTCACGTTTGCAATCGTGCTTGTCTGTTAAGCGAAACATTTTACTAAAATTTTGGACATTCCCGGTATCTAAATAGTTGGTATATAAAAAAAAAATATTTATTTATTATCTATATTATAGTATTTTAGTAGTAGTAGTATTATCTTTCTTTTAAAATATATTTTATCAAAAGGAAAATAAAATGTTTCGCTGCACATTCGCAATGCATTGTTCGCAAACAAAATTTCGTTACAACCATAACTTTGTTGTTCGTACTCCTACTATTATTCCCAGCAATAATTTCGTCTCTCTACTGCTGACAATGCAAGGGATCCCTAGTTTGAGAGTAGGTAACTGAAGTCATTGTAAATAATAGAGATGCCTACGTAAAACTGGAAACTGACTATCGAATATTTCCACACGGCATCTGCCGCACAATTCGAAACTGCATCCGAAAACTCAAATTTTAATTCCCGGCAACATATGCCGTGCACAGTTTGGGAACGGGCGGCCGCAGTGGGGAGGCAATCACACGCCAAGGGGAGGGACGGTAATTAAAAAAATGTGTCCCACTTCATTCGTGCGCGCCCAGTGTGACCGCAGCCTAACGCGCGGTGCCCCCGCCCTTAACTAATTAATAATTTTCGAACAAACTGTGCGTAATGCTCTCCGATGGGCTAGCACGGGTTCGGGATTTGAACAATCATCTACTATTTTCCAATGTATGTAATTTAATCTCACTAAAAGTAAGGACTTTATATCCTAAAGTTTCTTTCGGTTCACCTCAAGGATAGGAAATTATTAACCTAAATTTTTTCACATATCTGCCTAGCTAATATTTCCAAATTATTTGTTCCTGGTATATGGTTTGCTCTAATAACCGTTTCTAATCTAAATAACAGGATCATGTAAACTAGTATAACAGTTGATTGCACATTATTGGTTGATCTGTACAATCGGTGTAACGTGTCAGGGATCGAGTTTATCTATTTATCAGCTAATAAGCTCGTATCTGCACGATGGGCTCGTTATTAAAATGGTTAGTGAACCGTGCCGAGGAAGTTAACGTAATGTATCCGATTATAATGTCTAATTATTTGTAATGCGGATCAACTACAACACCGAATGAGGAGATAACGGAAAATTGATCAGAAAATATGAAAACGCTTGATTACTTTAGATACAGAAACAGTTTTTTTGGAAAAACTTTAATGAGAAGTTCATAACATACATCAAAATATGCTTGACTGTGTAGTATACGAGAATTACAATAAGTCAATATGGATTTGAACGTTCTTTTGATCATGAACAATATACATTTTGGTTACTTTATTTGTCGTTTCTAAAATTTACCATTCTTTTATTGAGAACTAAACATTTTTTTTATCGCAAACATAAGTTAGGGTTGTAACGAACACAATTAATTTTATTATCGCAATGATTGATTTACATTCGCTTTCGCAAATTACTCTGCGAATGTTTTAGCGAAACATTTTATTTCAATATCTCATAAAGATGCAATGAATGGTGAATGTATCAGAAATTCAATTCTTTAAGAATTGACAGGAGTCAAGATAACCATTCATTACATCTAATTTAAATGTGGTTACTCACCCTGTTCATTAGAAGCTCCCTGGTAATGGTCTTGTCATCATCTTTGGCGTCAGATCATAATCTTCTCGACATCATGTCATCACGAAGATATGGCTTCATGCATATATTTCTGATGGTATTATGAACGTTTCTCCGTCGACCGCTGATGCCGCGTCTACTTGCAAATCTTCTGCATCATCCAATCATCATCATTCAAGAAAGAATCAATTAAGTAGATCTTTCGCATCGCGCAAACATTCGCATCGGCAGTTTTTTACACTTTTTGTAAAATATATTCGTTACAACCCTAATCTTAAAATAAGACTGGTATTTTATTGGGATTATTAACTAATTGACGATTTAAAGTACATTATCACTTCGTAGTGGATCCGGTTAAGTTAGAATAAAAAAAGATTTTTCACTAAATTTATGTACTCACAACCGAAGGATTTACTCCTTTAATATTTTAGTTTATACACTTTTTTATAACTAATTTTATTCATATAAAATGATTGTTTCGACTTCCTTACTACTTCATTTACTTCGAATCATAAAGGATATAAAAAATATGTTTCGCGTTAATAAAATTTAAAATATTATCCATAGTTACGATTACTAAGTCATACGAAAATTGATAATTAACTATGCGTTTATAAACAATAGAACACTATAAACAATTTTCACCATTTTTTCATTCAAAACGGTTTCTTCGTCTTTGTAAAAGTCATAATTTTAATATAAGCTGATAACAAATAGCAAGATATGATTGGATTTTTTATATTAAAGACACTGATGATGATTTTGATGCAAAATGTTTCCATTCACAGAACGATTGCAAAAACAATTTGATGTCCTCCTAAGACCTTCCCACGTTGAAGTCAATAGACAATTCAAGAAATAACGAGGCAATATACGTCGTAAGAGAGGGTTGGCTTTGGCGATACAAGTGTCGCACACCGCAAATGTTCCTGACATCTACTAGGGCTATTACGCCGCCCGCCCTACGATCCGACGGCGGCATCTTCCGTATCTCTTCCGGGGCTAACGAAACGGATTGTAAATTCCGACGGATTCTAACTACCGATACAAACCGACTATTTAAGTTAACACCTTCCTCTTTTTGAACCGAAACAATATATTTGCGAATGTGTAAGTAGGAAAAAGTAAGAAAAAAATGGTAAATATTTACAAATTTACAATATCTATACATTTCAGTTATATTTTAACATTAATATAATAAAATACGTTACAGGTTTTTTTATCCCCGACGGAACTGAAATTGCATGTGGCTTAATTACCTAAATATAATTATTTTTCATTATTTTTGTAGTGATTGGTGTAAAAAGGTAATTATACAGGTATTTTGTTAAAAATAGCTACCTATTACTCGCATAGCGTTGATTTGTAAAAAAAGCAAAGAAATTAAACTTAAAAGTACAACAGTAAACAAAACGGTAACGTTAGTGCGTTGATGTCTTTTCTATGAAAAAATAAATTAACACGCAACCCAGAAAAATCTAACTAGACTTTACAAATACGAAGTACATAAAATTTAAAGTAAATTAAAAATCTGGAATCCCGACTAAAATAAAAATTACGAATGAGCTGTTGATTATGATGAACAGAAAACATGTGATGGTGTTTAAAATTTAAAATACTCACTGGATTGCAGTCTGTCTCTCCACGCCATGGGGTTGGAGATGAGTCCTTGGAAGCCGGGCCAGTAGAGAGGCTTGTGCTGGAGATAGTGCGCCATGCCGGCCGCCGCCGCCGCCAGCGATAGTCGTGGCGCCAGCAGCCCCGCGCCCACCTGCGACCCCACCGCCGGCCGGGAGAGGATGTTATCGATGCCGTGCGGATTCGGCGCCGGTGGAGGGGCCTCCGCCAGCGAGCTTAGCGCAGCCAAAGGTGCTCCAAATCCGTTCTCCAACGCACCCCTCGACAGAGGCGGGGAACCTCGTAGATCCGACATGACTCAAAAGCTCACTGCATCAAATGGATCAGACTAAACAGCTGTTATCGAAGTTCCTTTTCGAGCGGTAAAATTCTTATTTCCAAAATCAGATCGCACGCTATATGCCGCCGCCGATTACACAGTCATTGCCACAGTTCGGTCATGCACAAGGTGTTCAAATAGTATTCGATTCTCGAGTCGTTTGGTAATCGAACGCGAGTACTCGCTTGCGCGACCCGACACCAAATGAAAAGCTCGCCGAGCGAAGCTCGAGCAAACAAAAAAAGTGAATAGAGAACGCCGCCCAGTCAATCTAAACCTTATATCGTTGACGCCGCCCCTTAGCGAGGCCGTCACCTCAGAATTACCTCCGTCTCGCTCAGTCGTTCATACATAAGATAGGGAGGGAAGATGTGTGGTGTTAACACGAGAGCGTAGATTTAACGAATCGCTATTTAATGGCGCTTCTTGTCTCTTTATAATTAAGTCGGGTGCAGTTTTTGCGGTCCCCCGCCTCGCCCCGCGACTCGCTTCGCGAGCGCATGCACTACCTCTAAAAACTATTGTGTCTCGAATAATAAGTGCAAACTTGAATGGGACAGTTTATTTTATGATGCATTTAGAAAATGATAATAGCACCGGAAGGATCTCGGAGTCATTTGTCGTTAAATAATTTATGTGACAAATATTTTATTAATTGACAGTGTTGTGTGAATGGCACTCGATTCGGAACGGAAATAAAACACCCATAGAATTAACTAACCGAGTGTACAGTAGGCATCTGCTCCACAGCGTGTTGCTATTTGCTCATTCAAATTGTCAATAGCAGTGCAGTTTGTTCCATTGCGTTGTTAGGTATATACCGATGTAGTATTGAAGATACGCGATCTTCTGGAACTAATACAGAACATCTAACCTTTCTAGTTTTCCTTCTACCTTTTAAGTCCATCTATTAAAATCTATTAAATTATCATCCAAGTTAGTGATATTTTTATGTCGATTTTTTATGTCGAGTATATATAGATAGATAGATAGATAGATAGAAAATTCTTTATTGTTAGCACCACATTACAATATACAGATTACAGTATACAGGACAAAACTAAACACATTATTCGGGTAACAATTGGCGGTCTTATCGCTTACAGCGATTTCTTCCAGACAACCTTAGGATGGAGAGAGATTGTACATGAATAAAAGCGGGGGTGCTAGATAAAAATAATTACACAGACATATAGAATTTATTAAACAACATATTATACTTCTAAATATACACACGTATACAATATAATAAATACATATATATATATATATACATATAATATTTAAATATATATATATATATACACATACATACATATACACATACACATATGTATAATATATAATAACATACAATTACATAACATTTTATTCCTACATACACAATATTTACATATTTTAAAGATATATGTAGAAGCAGCCTAGCAGCAGTTTATTGTCCTTGTGAAAGATAAAATGAGTTAATTTGATTCTTAAATATGTTTAATGACTGCGCTTGTCTAATTGTAGCTGGGAGGGAGTTCCAGAGACGAACAGCGTGTGTAGAGAAAGAGGAATCATAAAAGGAAGTGGAGTGCAATGGCATTTTGAGACTAAGATTTTCTGAAGACCGTAATGAGTGACTATTCGAGCAGTGTCGGAAACTAAATCTATCCTTAAGGTAGTGTGGGAATGTGGGGTTGAACAAAATGTTGTAAAGAAGGGATAGTATATGAGTATTCCGGCGCAGGCGAATAGGAAGCCACTTGAGCTTAGAACGATAATGAGAAACGTGATCATGTTTACGCAAACCATAAATGAATCGAATACAAAAATTTTGAAGACGCTCAAGTTTATCTAGCTGGTCTTCCGAGAGATCAAGGTAACTGGCGTCGGCATAATCGAGGACAGGAAGCAACAAAGATTGTGCTAGCGCAATTTTAGTAGCAGTGGGTAAGAAGTTGCGTAGCCGCCTTAACGATGCAGCTGACGCATACAATTTACGACTAACGGCTTGTAGCTGTGGACCCCAAAGCAGAGAACTGTCCATGAGTATTCCCAAATTTTTTACCGTAAAACTAAAAGGAATGTCAAAACCATCAAAATTTACTTTAGGAAGTGCGCTCAAGTCAACTTTAGACAGTAATCTGGAGCTTCCTACTATCATCACCTGAGTTTTGACAGGATTAACTGAAAGTCCAAATGCCTCACTCCACTCCTTAATACGGAACAAGTTTTGGTTTGTGGTCGTTATAGCTTCAGTTAACCTCGATGGAGGTTCCTGACAGTATATTTGCAGATCGTCGGCATATAGGTGGTAGAAACAAGATAGGCTATGAGAAATGGTGTTTATAAATATGGCAAACAGAAGAGGAGATAAAATGCCGCCTTGAGGAACGCCAGCTGTCGTGTTACACCATGAGGAGAATTTCTCGTCATATCGAACTCGTTGCCTGCGATCGTACAAATAACTGCGAAACCAGTCAATCATAGTTGGAGATATGTTCATTGAGTGCAACAGGGCGAGAAGTACATCGAAATCAACTGTGTTAAATGCGTTGCTAAAGTCCAATAGTGTTAGCACAGTTAATTGACCATTCTCCATTCCAAAACGAATATCATCGGTGACTTTCACCAAAGTCGTGACTGTGCTATGGCCGGGACGGAAACCAGATTGGAGAGGATTAAACAGATTGTGACGGGAAAGGAACTTGCTTAGTTGGTTATGGATGAGACGCTCCAAAACCTTTGAAAGGAAAGGAAGGATGGATATAGGACGATATTCGTTACATGTTTTGGGATTACTTACTTTAGGCAAAGGTATTATTTGAGCATCCTTCCAGATTGAAGGAAATGCGGCATTGTAAATAGAGCTATTGAAGAGGAAAGTTAAAACTGGAAGAATGATATCAAGGATCGGCACTAGCATATTGCGACTTATACTGTCACAACCAACAGCATTCGAGGTGATTGACAAAATACACTTGTTTACGTCACATTCCGAAAATTTATCAAGAATGAATGGAGAGTGGTCAGGGATTGGTAAGGCCGAGAGTTGTTTTAAAGTTTTAATTTTATTAATGTTATTAATACTAGGAGAAGAGGAGAAATGTACATTGAGAGAATCGATATTAACACTGTTAGGAATGGCACTGTCTTTGGATTTACCAATCCCAAGAGTCTTGAGAAATTTCCAAACCTTCGTTGGATCCTCGTTCTCTACGGATTTGTAGATATGGCGACGTAAAGCATCTCTACACATCATATTGCAGCGATTACGGATTTTGGTATAGGTTTCTTTATTATAGTTACTTGGGCGACATTTATATTTAGTTTTAGCAGCTACCTTTTTGTTAATTACCAATTTTATGTCGTCGGTAAGCCATGCTGCCGGAAGGTGTTTTAATTTTATGGATCGAAAAGGCGCATGCTTGTCATACAATTGGTTAATGCATGTGTTAAAAATTTCAACCTGCTCATCCACAGTCTGCGCATCAATCACTGGAGACCAATCAATAGCACGTGCATCTTTAAGAAAAATCTCACGATCCATACCACTAAAATTGCGCTGGAGTATGACTTTGGGTTTAGCTTTAGGAGGACGAATTTTATAAGACAAATAAATGAGGTCGTGATAAGAAAATGCATCAGCCGAACATTGGCCGTGTTTTGCAACATGCTGCGGTGAAGATACTATTAATAAATCTAAAAGAGAAGGAGTACAATTGGGAAAATGATGAGTAGCACCAAGTGAAAGGATGTGCATGTTGCTTGAATTAATAACTGATTTAAGTGAGGACGTACGGTGATCATTTTTTATGAGACAAGTATTAAAGTCTCCCAAAATAATGGAGTGTCTATAAGAGGGAACAAAGTCACTTAACAGTTTTTCTAGTGAGGTAAAGTAGTCAACACGCAATGATGGGCTATAATAAACTCCAAGAAGGATTTTGGTGTGAACGAGAGTGACCTCAACCAACAGATGCTCGCCTGCATTGGGTGACGGTGGTTGTGATGAGGTGCTAATAATGGCGAAAGGAATGTGAGCTTTTAAGTAAATAGCTACCCCACCACCAACGGAGCCAACACGATCATTTCGTATAAGACGGAATCCAGGTAAAGCATAAGAGGAAGAAGGCAAACATGGTTTCAACCAAGACTCGGAAATCAGTACCGCATGTATATTGTTAAGATCAAACGACGCCAGTATATCAGGATAATGAGCCGGAATACTTTGGGCATTAATATGAATAACGTTAAAATTTTTGGGAACGTCAGAAAACAAAGACTCAAGTGTGTCTGAAAGAGAAGGAAGACTATCAAAACTGTTATTGCTGCTGTTGCTACTAAGAGATGACAGAGAAAAGTAAAGTTCATTATCACTATCAATTCCATCTGACATATCTAAATAAATATAAAAATATATATAATTATAATATAAAAACTATGTACTAATATAATATATGTATATATACAAACCTAAACAACACAAATAGATCGACTGGTAACTGTAACAGATACTATCTCCACCCGCCGGTTGTAGTGTTCTGGGAAAGAAGATTAATATAACAACATTACATTTATAGAGGTGGATCTGCAAGGGCACGGAACTGTACATACTAATCTTATTTATCTAAATATTACTGAAATGACAGGCCCCAAAAAAAAAAAAAAAAAAAAAATAATAATTGTAAAAACAACCAACAGTTAAATTAGTGCGTGAAGCGGAACGCAATTAATTTATTAAAGTGGACCTGTCAAAGTCAATCGTGACTTTATGCCATAGCCATTATAAATTTTACATACTATACAACAAAACAAAAAAAGAAAACTGACAGTCACAATAAACAAAAATCAAAGAAAATATTTTGTGAGGGTGAACATAATATATTATCCAGTCCTACCCGAACAGATTCCACAAGATTAGACGCGTAAAAGATATATGAAAATGAGACAAAGAAAAGTACGACAGTAACGTCACTTTTTACTAGTGGCACAA